GCAGGCACTGCTGACCCGCACTGACGGAAAAGGGGCGTGGCGGTCTCCCCAGACCACTGCCCGCCTCCCGGCCTGGCTCACTAGACTACCCAGGCCCCAAGGCGACAGAAGAGACCCCAGAGTGAGACCCCTCCCGCCGCCACACTGGACCCTCGCTGTCCTTCCAGTCTGCCTGCACCGCCCCCACCCCTCCACCTCGGCAAAGCCCCCACGGCCCCACCGCTCCACCTCGGCAAAGCCCCCAAGGACCCACCCCTCCACCTGGGCAAAGCCCCCACGGCCCCACCCCTCCACCTGGGCGAAGCCCCCACGCCCCCGCCCCTCCACCTGGGCAAAGCCCCCACGCCCACGTGGCTCCATGCCACACTTCCGCCCGCGTCATTTGCTACTCGGCACGTCTCCTCGCCCGCGTCATTTGCTACTCGGCACGTCTCCTCCTCGTCCACTGACGGTTACCAAGCACCCAGTGTACGCCAGGCTGTCCTGGGCACGGGAGCACAGTGAGCATGGGGGACACCGCAGACGCAAGACACGGGGGACACGGCGGACACGGCGGACACGGGGGAACGGCAAACATGGGGACACGGCAGACACGGGGACACGGCGGACACAGCAAAGCTGGGGACACAGCGGACATGGGGACACAGCGGACACAGCAAAGCTGGGGACACGGCAGACATGGGGAACACAGCGGACACAGCAAAGCCGGTGACACGGCGGACACGGGGACATGGCAGACACAGTGGGGCTCCCGCTCAGGAGAGGAGACGGTCCCAGACAGAGACCAAGTCACAGGTGTCAGGCGGTGAGGCAGCCCCCGCACATGTGGTCCATCCACCATGTTTCTGAGGCACATTCCAGAAAATTCTTGCCGAGGTCTTAGCCCGAGGTTGTTATGGGTAACAAGCAAGTTACAGAATAACAGATATGGCACAGAATATCTCACCCGGGACACAAAACGGGATCCAGGACAAAGCGGGTGGGGGAACGAAAGGCAGGCTGCTATTTTATGACAGGAGGCTCAGGGACCCCTGCTGAGGGGGTGATATCTGAGCAAGAGCCTGAGGAAGCAAGTCACACAGATCTGAGGGAAGAGCACTCCAAGCAGGGCCCGTGCAAAGGCCCTGGGGCAGGACCCGGCCTAGTGAGTTAGAGGAACAGTGAGGAGGCCCGTGTGGCTGGAGCAAAGTGAGCGAGAGGGAGAGAGGAGGAGGGGAGGGCAGGGAGAGGACGGGGCAGGCCATCAGGGCCCCGTGGGCCGCGGGGAGGTGGGGGCCCTGGAGGGCTGTGGATGGGGTGGGGGGGACCTGAGTCAGCCTTTAATGAGATCCTTCTGGAATGAGCTACAGGGGCAGGAGAAGAGGCAAGGAAGTCAGGGTGGGGGCGACGGCACTGGGCCAGGTGGTGATGATGGGGCTGGACCAGGTGGAGGTAGAGGACGGGGAGAAGTGGCCGATTCTGGGTTGATTTTGAAGCCGACAGCATTTGCCACCAGATTAGATGTGTGCGGGGTCGGGCGTTGAGGGGTCAGGAAGGAAGCCAACTGCCCTGAGGCACCACAGAGGCAGGAAGGCCAGGAGAGAAATGGCTCAGAGATGCCCAGACCACCAAAAAAGGCCCCACTGCCATCGGGTGGATCTGGACTCACGGCGACCCCGTGTGACAGAGCACAACCGCTCCACAGGGTTTTCTTGGCTGTAATCTTTACGGAAGCAGATCGCCGGGCCTTTCTTCCCTGGCACCACTCAGTGGGTTCCCACTGCCAGCCTTCCGGTTAGTAGTCAAGCACAGACTGTGCCACCCAGGGACCTTGAGCCGGGACCTCAGCCTGGACCAAACCCCACGGGCAAATCATGGGCCCCAACAGACACTCCCCAGAGCAGCCACAGCCCACGGCGCTGCTGGCAGTGATGCCGACACAGCCCCCCGCCCCGCTGGTGTGTTCCCAGCAGCCTGCAGGAGCTAGAAGCCAGTGCATTTATTTAAAGTCCCCAGATTCTAAACACTGACAAGACAGCCGCCTTCCGTCAGAGTGGCTAACGACCAAGGCCAATCCCACGGGGAGCTGGCCACGCTGTGGGGGGACAGGCAGGTTCCCTGGGCGCCGGCAGATGGACTGTGGTCTACTCCAGCCTTTTCCAGAGGCCACGGAGCCTTAGACAGTAACTTGCAAATCAGCCTGACCTTGGCCCAGCCATTGCACGGCTAGAAATGAACATACCCATGGTTGTAAGTTCGCGATCAAAGATGTTTACCGTGGCCTTGCTTGTAATGGCAGAGCCCTTGGGTGGTGCAAACCGTGAATGCACCCAGCTACTAACTGCAAGGCTGGCAGTTCGAGTCTACCCAGAGGTGCCTCGGAAGAAAGACCTAGCAATCTGCTTCCAAAAAATCCACTGAAAACCCTCTGGAGCGCAGCTCTACGGTGACGCATGTGGGGTTGCCATGAGTTGGAGTTGACTCAACAGCAAATGTTTTTTTGCTTGTAACAGCTGAGGAATATTCCAGAAACAATCAGAACGTTCCTCAGCAGGAGACTGGAGGGCTTGATAACTGCATGCGCAGAAGGCTGACTGCAAATCCTTGATAACATGCATTAAGCACTCACGACCTGCTAAGTCCCGCGTGAGTCACCAAAGGCTCCCGATCGCCCTCTGAGCTGGGTGCCGTTATCACCCCCATTTCACAGACAGGCACACTGAGGCTCAGGGAGGCGAAGGCATTTGCCCTTCAAGGTCACGCGGCAATTGAGAGGCTGAGCTGGGATTCCAACCCAGGCCGTGTAATTCCAGAGTTCCCGCCCTCTTGACCATACCCTGCGCTCTCTCTCTCCTCTGAAGAAAATAATTGGTACTAACGTGGGGGAAAATTCTAGACTGTTACAGGATAATAAATATAGTACAGGGATCCTCACCAGGGGGTGATTCTGCCCCCCAGGGGACACTGGGCCATGTCTGGAGACATCTGTGGTTGTCACACCTGGGGGAGGGGGTGGCACTGGCATCAGGTGGGTGGAGACCAGGGATGCTGCTCAACACCCTACAGTGCACAGGACGGCCCCACCCCAGAGAAGGCTCCAACCCCAAACATCAGCAGTGCTGAGATGCAGAAACTCTGGTACAGTGCGAAACCATCTTGGTAAAGAACAAACAAGCCTATTTATGTGTTTGTATGTCTGCATGAGCAACAGAAAACGCATGGACCGTTATAACCCAAACTGCTAACAGGGGAACTGGGTTTGGAGGGGGAGAGGCAGCTCTTCATTTTAAAATGAGCGGAATAAATGATAAATCGGCAGAGTCAGATTTCGGAGGATTTCAGGGGGCAGGAAGGGCAGGGAAAAGAGCCAGCCCCTTCTCTGGGCTCAGACCAGCCAACGCCTGAAGAGTCAGGGACTTATCTGTCCCCATCAGCTCCCTGAGCCCCTGATAAGACCAATGTTTGCTGTGGCTTTCTTGTGAGTTTTGGGCTATTTTGTCTTTGACCGCCCATGCCAGAGGGCGGAAGTCAGGAGGCCGGGAAGGAGGGGACCTTGGCCTCGCTGGCTGCCTGATCCAGCGCAGAGCTGGCCAGGCCGGGACACTGGCTGCCGGCAAAGAAGGAAAGCGATGCACCTGGCCTGTCGGAATTAACCGGGTCATCTACCAAGCGGTTCCAGATGGCAGTGGGAAGGAGCCGAGGGAACTCACGCTCACACTCTCTCTGTCTCCAGTCGTTTCTCCCCGCTCCCAGGCACCACATACAGCATCCCCTCGCCTGCCAAGGAAGCTTCGGGAGGCCCGGGGGAGAGGGAGGACGGATGCCCACGTGGGTGTCTGCAGACACTGCCACGACCACGAAGGCTGCTGGGGGGAGCCGAGGATTTTGTGGATTTGCAAACTTCCTATCTGGTAGCTTGTGACCTAGGCCGAGAAGGAACAGTTCCTCTGGGCAGGGGCTCCACCCTGCACACCACCCCAAGTGGAGGCGGGTGGGGAGACCCCAGGGCGGGGCAAGGCCGCCCACCTCCCCACACCTGTTCTCCTGGGGGGCAAGGGAGGGGTGACAAGAAGAGGCACGGGGAACCAGGGAGCCATGCACCCTCACACGTGTCCAGGGAGAAGGCTGGGGGAACAGGCCACCAAAATCTCCTGCCCCCACGTGCTTGCCCAGCCTCAGCCCTTCGAAATATCTCTTTGGGCTCCTCGTGTAATAAGGAGGGTAAACTGAGGCCCAGAAAGGAAGAGAATGGTCATGTACCAGTAACCGGGTCTCGTGCATTCTAGAAAAAGAGCTGAGATAAAGTCAGGGGCTGACCTGATGGCCTCAGAGACCCCCACCCTCCTCCCTTCCCTTCAAGACCAATCAGAGGTACCATACCCATGGGGGTGGGTGATGCTTGTGGGGAGAGGCCAGGAAGCTGGCACTTGGAAGGAGGGGCGCCCCAGAGGAGTGGGTCAAGGCGGGGATTGACATCTGGGGCAATGTCATCCCTCTCCCCCGCCATGGACCCCCTAGGAGGCAGGTCCCCTCAGCAGAACGGGGGTACTCAATCATCCCACATTCAAGAGTACCCTCTCGACAAAAAGAGCAGGTGGGATAACGCCCCAAGCACCCCCGGTGTGAGGCAGTTCACCCACTTGGCTTCCTAAATGGGGCCCCCCAAAAGCAAAGACCATCTTGCTGTATGCTTCCAAGGGGGCTGCTGCATCCACAGGCTCCCAGGACGGGGGCCTGCGCCCACGCCGCGCCCCCAGACCGGTGGTTCCCCACCGCCCCCGATCCCCAGAATGGGCGGCGCCACTCCGCGCCCCCAGAGCGGGACGTTCCAGTCTCCCCCGGCCCTCGGCATGGGCTGCTCCATCTCCCCCCGCGAGCGCCCCCGAGTGGAACGTTCCGGCCTCCCCGCCGCAACGGGTCCGCGCGCCCCGCCAGCGCTCGGGTGGGTCCACTGGGCTGGTGGGGGAACGGGCGGGCCCATTCGGGGCGCGGGGAGGGACGGCGAGGTCTGGAACAGTTACCTGCCGCCGCGCCGGTCTCCGCGGCCCACGCTGCCTCCGAGGTCACGGCCCTCGCCTCGGCGCTCTCCGCTTCGTCCGGCACCTCCAGCTCCATGGCCGCGCGCACGGGCCGGGGCGGGC